GCAAGGGGGTCTTTTTCAAGCTTTTCTAGCGGGAAAGCAGGGGATCCCTCGCTCCGCCCCGCGGCTTTTCCTGTGACGCAATTAGCCATATTTGGTCTTGTGCTGTGTTTGTTTGGTATCCTTAGCAATACGTCAGAGGGAATCCCTTTCTCCTAAGCCGCGCTGCGGCGGCGGCGGCGGCGGCGGCGCTGATCCGCCCCCTGATGCCTCGGCTGCTTTTGTTGGATTATTAATAGAAACTTTTACTATAATTCTAGAAATGGCATGAAAGCTCGGGCACGCAGCGGGCAGGGGAAGAAGGAGAGGGGTAAGCGTTCAAAACCCGAAACCGTTCTCTGCCCGCAGCGGACAAGCGCTGCAAGGCGCGAGTGGGGATCCTCTCCACGGCCCACGGAGGCGCCCTTCGCCTCCCCGACGCCGCCCCATCCCGTGGCAGAAGTAAACACTGTGCCCCGACGGGGCCATTAACGTGGGAACTCGCTGCCCCAGGACGGAATGACCGCCTTTCTGCGAAAGGGAGCCCGGTTCCTGGAAGGACTTGGACGCAGCTGCCATCGGGTCTCAGTCGAGGTGGGAAAAGCCCCCGGAAGTCTTGGGCTTAAGACCACAAAGCCAGCCCCCGCCTGGTACCCTTAGATGTCTCGGACATCAGCTTTCCTATCTCTGCCCAGCCCAGGCCTGGTATATCAAAGCTTTCGTCCCCATTGCCGCCTTTCCCTGGAGGAGGTGAAGTTTTCAGGTGTGGCTGAGTTTATGACCCACAACCCACATTCCCACAGCCTCAGCAATGAGAACTAGCACTGTTGTGCCTGAAAAATGGTTGACCAACAACATGAAAATGTGCAGTATTGTATTCTCTTCCTAACTCTATATTATTATTTAACACATGGGGCCTGCATTCAGTTTTGTTGTGGGTCTCAGAGCCCCTTAAGAGACTAATGTGCACCCAGTCCTCCTAATCTCCAGGTGTGATTTTATTATTAATCAGTTTTATTGCCATTTCCAACACAAAACAACAACCAGGGGCAGCAAGGGACTTTGTGACTTTACAGGGGTGGCTCTAAAGGAGCTGCCTGCCGAAACAGCCCCAGGCTGGGTCAACCAGGCCCGCCAATCGCTCTTTAGGTGTGCATGTGTGAGAATCCAGCCTGTGGGGGTCCGTTTCTGGGTCTGTGTGTTGTTCAAACTCGTTAAACTAGGTTAACTGAGCAAGACATGGTTAACTCCACCAAGAAGACGGAGGCATTGGAAACTGCTCCCCCCCCCCCACTCACTTTCTCCCCCACAGCTTCCTGGCCTGCAAAGCCAAGAAGAGTTCATGTTTAAAGAAGGAGGTCTTGAAGGGCTGGGAACCCTCTGCCTTCCAAATTTTCCGGCTTGGTGGAGCCTCTGAGGAGGGAGCAGTTATCCTTACGAATCAACAGGCAGGAACTTTCTTTGGCTTTGCAATTATGCACAACCCCTCCCTTACCTGACCTTTCTGGAGCATAGACAAGAAATTCACACCCTCCTCCAAGGCTTTTTAATAGAGCAGCATGCTCTTGCCTGCGGCTGGGGGTTTCACAGGGTACATTATGCTGTCTGAGCCGGACAGAATGGAGCTGCCTCTTTAGTATGGGAACTGAGAGCTTCGAATCTCAGTGGCTGAGAGCGTTAATTTCCTCCCCCCTTAAACAGTGTTACAGTGAAGTAGGAAGGGAGTGTTGTAGTTGAAAGAGGTACATGCAGCAATCTTATCCCCGTTTAGCTAAATCACAGTTTACTCAAATCCTGGGGTCTGCAGAACACACAGAACCCTAACCTAATTCCATGGGAGGGTTTTGCACAGCCCACTAGGCTGGAATAGGGTTGACTTGTGGTGGTTCTGAGCATTGCGTGAACTCAGTCACAGAAAGTCAGACTCTGGCCCCGGAGGGAAACCACCGTGCCCAGGGAGGGAGTCCCTGCTGATAGAGGAAGTGCCAAGGATAGCCTTTGTATGGCCCCACCCTGGCTGAGCTGCACCGTCTGGGAAAGGCTAAACCATAGTCCCTTCTGGGTGAAAGGCCTGGCGGTTCTCCCCACAGCAAGTAGCTGATATGGAGGCCGAAAGGATGATTTATATAACTGACTAATGTGGAGGAGATGTGTGGGTCTAAATGCTAGCCTGGCTGGCTCTTTTACTCCCTAATCTTTGGACTGGGCTATGCCAAGCCTTTCCCTCTTCAGCTGTAGTTTTCTGATCTACTCCAGATGTGCTCGAACACATGCTTCTTATAACATGTGGTTACTGGCCTGCCCGCACAAGATTTGTTGAGCTGGGATCATCTGGTTTTGTTTGGCTTGGAATTATTACTTGAAATGCCGTTCAGCAAGCCTGCTGGTGGAAACCCCAAAAAGGTTTTGAGTGAAGCTTCTTAGAAATCCTAAGCTTATATCCATGTTTAAATCATGGATATAGAATGGCCAGGACTGGCCTGGGGATGGGGCGCCTGCTTTGCATCCCCAAAGCCTTCCTGTTTGGAAAGCAGGCAGCAGCTGGAAGGGGCAGTTTCTGCTTGGGACCTTTGGAGAAAGCAATGCCGAGTTAAGCGAACAAGAGAATCTGCCTTCTGGTTCTCTGAAATTCCCTCCACCTGGAACATGTCAGCGATGCCCTGATCCCTGCAGAGTGGCCCTGAGGCTGCTGACTGTAGAATGTTTAATGAAAGGCTCCCGGGTGTGCGTGTGTGGGGGATTTGACCCATTTTTGGATGCTTGACAACTGAATGTGTGAACTCATTCCCTAGTACTTTCTGTACTGTAATAATAGCACTGGAATGTCCTAGCCAGGATGCTACATTTTTGTATCACTTTTCTGCATTTCTAAATTAATGTAAATTCTGTCCTCAGTTGTTAGAGTCCATGAATATAAGCAGGGAGGAATGATCTGTGCCACTCTGTTCCAGCAAGGGGTTTGCCCACATTCTTAATTTGATAGGAAACAGGAAATCCATGTTCCTTGCAGAGTTCATGTTCAATGAGATTGGGGCAGAGCAGTTGAAAATAACGTGGAATGCAGCTCATGATCTCACATCTAATTCCTGCTGCATTAGTTGGGAAGTGCTTCGCGGGGGGGCGGGGAGGGAGAAGGCACTCGAAGCTGAATGCCAGCAGTGAAACGGAGGCCCTTCTGTAAGCAGAACAGCCATGTATAACTTTAACAGGAACCACAATAATCCATGCTCCTCAGAACGAGCAGGAGAGTCTTGCAGATGCAGCCCTGAGGAGGCCATTGTGCTAAGAGAGAGTTGGATGGACCTCCCGAGTCCCAGACGCCCCATGGAGTGTGTGGCAGTGGGAGACGGCAGCTCCGGGCTGCCATTCCCGTGGGCAGGAAGGGGGGCAAGAGCAGAGACCAAATGGGTTTAGATGTAAACTGCTGCTGTTGTACTCTGTTGGCTGTGTAGATCAAGACTTCGTTCCTTTGAGCAGCTGGTTAATTTATAATCCCAGAGTTACAAGGAAGAAGCTTGGGAGGCACCTGAGGATAGCATGCGCGTGAGACTTACTCCTGGGTAAATGTGGAAAGCTGCTGTTATGTCTCCTCTGATCTCCGATGGG